CCTCCTCCGCTCGGATGTGTCCGTTTATTCGGGACTCGACTTTTGCGGATTCGGTACCGCACCCCCTTCTACGCCGCCGGTCTCTGTCGCTCCCTCCGCACTGCCAGCCAATATGTCGAGTCTCCCTGGGCTCATGTGGTGCGGCGTCGGAGCTGAAATGCTCGCGCAGGACTCCTCCCTCCCTGCCATCGTACCCACTCTCGGCCCCGACATGTCAACCACCTCTGGGCTCGGTTATTGTGGGCTTGGAACCGCCTCGACCGTCCCTGTCCTCGCGCCGGTCTCGGGCCCCCTTATGTCGGCTCTGAGCTGGCGTGGGCTTAGGACCGAGCCCTCTGTCAAAGTCTCGATGCCAGTCTACACCCCCGGTCTCGAGTTCGCGACGCCCATGTGCTCGCTCGTTCTGAGCGACGCCTGCCAGAGCTCCTTTGGCGATTCATGTGCAGTACTTCTAGGACTAGTAATCGCTTGGCGTGGTAAGTCGATTTGGGTACGATTGTGGTTGCCCAGACTTGACTGACATGACAATTTTCAGTTTACGTCTTTGTCAAGGTGGCGCTCACAGCGTTCATTCGCTGCGCCTGGCTCTGCGTTGTTACAGCCCATCGTAATTAAGATCGTGCATATCCTTATTCACCGTAATAACGCGCATTCATTCAGGACTGGAGCTGTACCTCCTCGGCGTTCTACGCCGTGCATTCCGTCGGGCCGTCCGACGGGTCATATATGCGGCCGGAATGGGGCACACCGCCTATTTAGGCGTCACGGATATCTGCGCGTCTGTATTGGCGCGCAGTTTTATGTGGGTATGGTGGGCTCTTTCTGGTAAGCTACTGTATCATCGTCATTTCTTCGTTGCTGATCGCGTGTGTCTAGTCCCCGCCTCGGTATGGCGCAAACTCTGGCCGGACAAGTCCAGCGCGCCAGCCCTCAAGGCGCCGACCACGTGGGTAGATAACGGGAAGAAGCTGGGGAGGAAGGACCGCAAGCGGAAGCGGTCGGCGTAGGCAAGTAGAAAGTGGAGATGCGCTGGGGTGTACGCCGGGCGTGCACTCTTTCGCGGCCTCGACTAATAATTTAAACCCATAAAATTTTCTTTTTCTTTTTCTTTTTACTTTCTGTTCTTGTCTCGGACTGGACTCGTCTCGGTGTCTGAATGTATGTACTTATGTACTCCCCCGATGTAGGCCATTGTGCCAGTTTCTTTGTGTTTTGGTTGTATTTGTTTTGGTGACTTGTTTAGCCTTTCTGGTCTGGAGCGCCGCTAGCTTGTATGCGGTCGCGCCAGGCCTAATAAA